CAGCCAAAAGCCTCAACCTCCTTCATTCGATCAGTAACAAGCTCCCTCTTTTGAAACAAAGCGCAATAAAGTTATGTGGACATTATCATTATTAAAATAAAATCTCAAAGTGAGTACAAGAATGCAGTAATATTCGGCTTCTTAGAGAGTGATATCCTTGCTGGTCTTCATTAAATAGGAAATCGATAACTCAACTAATGTAGAACACACTGCAAATATATTCATGGAAAAATGGTGTTAGGTCTCATGTTTTGATGATGATTTACAAACCCTATTATGGTACTAATTGCTTGTCAAGTGATCCTACGCAGGATATGTTTATCAAGCAATATAATGCCATGTAAAGGATGGATGGACTTGCACATCAATGATGATATTCATGGAGGTGGAGACTAGTTGATGAAGAAGCCTTTAAATGCTCAAAGATCTACTCAAGCAGATATCTACTCATGAAGAGCTTTCAAGCATATATTCAAGAAAAGCTTATCAACAACAAAACTTAGAAAATATCGATACTCAAGCATTGTATACATTTGTAAGCGATATTTGTATTTTACTTCTCTCTAAATTATAATGTAGGCAAGAATTAAGTTTGATAACTCTTGAAGCATTAGGGAATCATACACACGCACACACACTTCAAAGTTTGTTTTTGACAAAATCTTCAAAAACCATTTTAAACAAAAGTTTGTTTAAAAAAATACTTTCTATCCTTAGTATATTATATCTTAAAGTCAATGTTACATTAAACGTTGGGCGCTTCTAGGCGTCGGACTTGGCGCCCAACGCTTAGTCGTCTAGACGGACGCCTAAGCGGTTTCTGGGTGTTTTTTTTCTTTCTTCATTTAAGTGGTGATCAATGAGGTTTTGCTGAAGGTAGGAGGAGGTAGTGGAGGTGTTCATATTTGGAGGTTAATAGAGTTTGGAGGACGTGTAGGCTACGACACATAAAATCACAAAGTTTGGAGGACGTGTAGGCTACGACACATAAAATCACAATCAAGACCTACAGGGTGCAATCCACGTAAGCAGACAATGCTCACCTAAACGCTCGTAATATCTCTGTGGGTAGCCTAAATACCGCCTAGACGCTAGGCGCTAGTTAGGCGGCCTAGGTACCACCTAGACCTAGGCGTACGCCTAAGCGGACTAGGCGGAGGTTTTTTAAAACAGTGCTTAAAGTATTTTTCAAAGTTTCACAATTTTTCAAGTCATTCTGGTCTTTAAAATAAATTTAGAAAATTAACATTTTCAGGTATCTGTTATGTCACTGGACAGTCGACTGGCATATCTAACGGTCGACCAGTAGTGCTTTTGTTTTCCCACAAATGGCCTCTGGACGGTCGACCGATACACAGATCAGTCGACCAGCCACGTTTTGTCTTTCCTATAATTGGCCAACAGTTAACTGGTCAGTCGACCGATATAATCAGCCAGTCGACCGATTGTGTTTCTTCTTGGTAACGACTAGTTTTATCTGAATCCGGTTTTTAAGGGATTTGATTTGATTTTAGAAAACGATTTTGGGCAGATTTGATCTGATTTGAAGCCCATACCTTCTGATTTAGTTGAGAGGTTATAAATAGCCCTCAAAGACCAATTTGATTTCAACAAGAAAGAACAACAAGACAACTTATGATTAAAATTTTCAAAGCTAAATTTCTCAAGCATTTTTTCTTCTAAATCTTCCACTTTCATATACTCACAATCCCAGTGCTTCAATAGTCAATCTCTTCATCCTTGTCATAAAATTCTTGTAAGAGAGATTATTATCTTCATCTTATATTGTGTAGCTTTGTGTGGAGAGTTAGATCTCAAGGAGATTGCTGTGTAAGAAGTTCCGGCTTTCAAACTGGGTTGTGAAGTGGATTACCATTGGGAGAAGTGGTCGGGGACGTAGGTCGATAGTGACCGAACCTCGTGAACATATCGCCGTCTTCTTTGGCTAACTATCTCTCACCCTCTCTCTTCTATATTTGCTTATTGTCATATTTTATGTCTTTGATTGAATTGTATTTTCATTAGTTGCACATTTGTTTCATTTACCCTATTTACCCCTCTCTAGGGTACTTTCAAATGAGACCATCAAAAACCCAAACGCGGGCCTGACTGAGGAAAATAATTTCTAACGAATGAGTCATATCTCCCAAATCGTACGTCGAAATTGGATGAATTATATATAAATCATGTATTCTTTCGAGACAGAGTCAGCCAAACCCACAGTTGTTCAGTTTGTCGCCGTCTATTTCTCAAAATTCCCTCGGATTGAGAGATATCAGAGTTTTTGTTAGTTTTTTATGTGGATGCGGTTCCGCTATAAAAACCACAAGGGAAGATAGTGGACGATTTTCCATAGGTGACAGTCTGGACAAAATAAAAGTCATTAATAAAGCAATGTAAGCCCACAATCTAATCAAATTGGACGAAAGATCAACTCCCTTGTATGACCCCCAAAAGATCCTTAATGATTTAGGGCCCTATTTTGATTAGGAAACAAATCCGGTTTGATTTCAAAATTAACCGATTTGCTTTCCTAATCATATGGAGCCTTTTAAGAATAGTTTTATCATTTCTATTTTTGGTATAGTTCGGGTCCTAGCGGGAGTCATGTTTATTTTCTATTTAAGTTGAGGATTGTAAGCCCTAGAGACATAGCTTTTCATTAATAAAATTTCTCTTCTGATATTTTCTTTGTGGATTCGAAGTTCTTCGTGGATTTGGAGATCATTTTGTGGATTCAAATAACACCCCTTGGTGAATTCCGATGTTTACACTTCCGCATTGCGTTAATAGTCAACCCATAACCAAAAGATAAAAAAAGAACCATGACATGAAATGGAAAAAAGAAATGGAGTTACTATAAACCCAAAGAAACCTCATAATAGAAAGATCATTAAAATTGTCACGTCATTTAGATAAGATCATTAAAATTGTCGCGTCATTTAGATTAAGCACAAGAAAATTATTTACTGATGTCAACAACAAAAGAACACAGCAAGAGTCCATGAAGCTGCTTTGTCTTTAACTAGTAATTTTGGTAAACCGATACTAAGTTGCTCAACTGAAAATCTAGGCGAATCAATCATTATTATGTTTTCTGCTTTTGCTTGTATAACGTCTACAATTAAATCCATGAAGATGTCCCCATAAAACAATGACATTATATCCATATCTAATTCCAGAAAAAGTTGCATCCTTGATATTTTGGTCATGTGCATAATAACTTGAGGAAGCATTATACTCCCCTTTTTCATATTAGCATACAATTGAAACACACACACCAATTAGACAGTAAAACAGCAAATATAAAATCTAAATAATATTTATCCATAGTAAATCCTTATCCAAAACCCTATAAATCAAACCATCAACTCAAACTCATCAAAACTTAACTAATAGCAACAAAACATATCAGGCAGCTTTTTTGGAAACCATTTTCTTACTGAATTCCTTTTCTATATTTTTCCCTATATACATTTAAAAAAAATAGCCTAAAAAGAACCCTTTTTCCACAGCAAACCCCCGAAAAATTAGCACTCCAATACTCTAAACCCTAAAAATCTAATTTAGTCAACCTAACAGTAAAAATAGCAAAAAAAAAAAAAAAAACCAAAACCTAGAGATAACACCTGTTGTTGAAAAGGACCAGGAGATTTGGGCTTCTTAGTAAGAGGACCGTGCTCATCCTCCAACGGATCCTCGATCTCCAACTTCACCATCGGAACCGCCGCCGCATCCGCCGCCGACTTCACCGGAGTCTCCATACCCTGCCGGAGTTTCCCTGGATTCGCCAGCTGAACCATCGATTCCTCTCAAACGCTCACCAAAACCCAAACCCTAACCCTAATTTGAAGAAAAATGATGGATTCGATCGATCGATCGAGAGAGAGAGAGAGAGAGAAGAGGGGAGGAATCAACGAGGTTGTGATACGGAAATAAAAATGAAGTGGGGAAATTTTGAGAGGGGGTTGGGTTTTTTGTAAATATAAATAGAGAATGGCGGTTGGTAATGTAATTTTCGGGGGGTTGCTGAGCTGTCATTGAGCACGCGTACGAGTGCCGCAAGGGTGCTGTACACGTGGCGAATTTTAGCTAGTGGTAATGTGAAGTTACGGAGATGCCCTACGTAATGGTGGCTGATTTGCTACGTGGTTCTTGGTTCGTTCTGGGGGATGTCAACGTCAGCGGTGGGACGTGGTGGATGGGGTCTCTAAAAAATTTTGTTAATCTTTTTTTTCTTTTTGTTTCCATTTTTTTTCCTTTTTTCTTTTTTCGGATTTGACTGAAAATGAGCTCTAGAAATTTTCAAAAATTGTAGTTTAGGTTTACTATATTTTCTTGAAGAAAAGCAAAGGAGAAAAAACTTAGGGGGTGTTTGGTTTGTTTCCATAAAATAATGGAAATGGAATCCAAGGCAAATAACCATTTCCAAAAAAAAAATTGGATCATGCAGGAATCCATAACTTGTGTTTGGTATAGAATGATGAAGTGAAGAATAGGAAAGCATTTCCAAAACTCATGTTTGTTTCATTTCCAAAAAATTTAAGGAGTTGTGAGAGTAATTGATGAGTTGTCAATTAGTTGTCAGATTTCCAGCCCATTTCAGAGCTTTAAAAATGGATTTGGCTTTTCCATAAAGTGTGTTGCCATGTCAGCTTTTAAGAAATGCATTCTTAAAAAAAAAGTTGAACCAAATGACAGTTTTAGAATCCAAAAATGTCAAAAAACCTACTTTTTGTTCCAAAACTGCATGATTTTCAAAAATTTAGCCGAACCAAACAGCCCCTTAAAATCAGAAACTAGAAAAATCGAATCACTTGAAATAGCTAAAAAGTAATCTTTAAGACCATCTTCGATAAACAAAAAGTAAAGAAAATTTGTTTTATTAAGAAACCACTTTTCATGACTTTTTATTTGTAAATATTATTTGGGCTAAATATCGTAGAACACCCCCCTTACTTTTGATGATTATCAGAAAACCCCCTTAATTTTCAAAATATCAGAAAAGCCTCTTAACTTTAGGGTTTGTCAGAAAACCCCCTTTAATTTTGAGATTTACAACCCCAGCCTCTCCCTTAAACCCCCCCCCCCCCCCCCCAAAAAGAAAAAAAGCTTTTATGTTAAATCTGAAAGTTAGAGAGAGTTTTTTATGATGATTCCTTATCCATATTAGAAGGGGGGATGATTTTCTAATATTATAAATAGTAAGGAGGGGTCTGATTAATCATCCAAATTAAGTGATTTGTATTTTTTTTTTTTTTTTGGCCGGAGGAGGTGGGGAGTGGTTTCTGAATATTTAGCTTATTATTTGGATCGTAGAAAGTGACGAAAGATATAGAAAATTAAGTTAGCAACTAATGTTTCGTTGCTTTTAATTCAATTATGATTGGAGTTAAGAATCTTTTTCACAAACAGAGGACAATATCATAACCCTTATTATACTCTTTAATGTGGCATAATAAATCAATAAATTGCTAGCGATAAATTCTCAGAAAAACGCATCATTTTACACTCAGAAACAGTTCATCTTTTGTCCCGGCTTCTTCATAATAATCACGCGCAGCTATGTGTGACTTGGTTCATAAGAAATTTAAGACGTTTGCCTCCAAATTTGCTTATCAAATTTCATGAGTTATTATCATAGAGAAGATGAGGCATCATGTCTACAATGAGTCCAAGAGAAATATCGACATCATACCTGATGCACCGTTGGTCGATTTAAGTTATTTGTTTAGGCCGTGGCCAGCTTTCCCAAAACGAAAAGGACTACGGATAAACTAATATTATTTGTTTACATAACATTTACACGGAGGTGATGTGTAATAAGAGTGGCACTAGGAGCACACCCTCAACCATAACTCCAACCATACCCTCTCTCATTGCTACAGTGCACCAGGCCCCACGTGTGATTTTAAAGAATTCGGTGTACTGTAGCAAATGAGAGGGAGTGTGTGGTTGGAGTTGTGGTTGGGGTGTGCCCCTATCATTTTCCGTGTAATAATGAGGGGAAAGAATGAACATCCTTTTGAGTCTTCATGTTAGACCGGAGGGAGACTAAAGGGAGGTGGACCTCTTTGTAGCTCACTTTCTCGATTTTATTGTATTCTCCCAATTTGAAAGGATTTTTCTCTCTCTAGATTTCTAGTTCACTTTGCATGCATTAACTCCCTCCTCACCCCCACCTCATCTCGCCTTAGGGCCTGTTTGTTTCATCAATTTTATGGAATAGGAATGGTATTTGGACCTGACAATGATGTTTTCGTAATTAATGGATTCCAAATGAATCCTAATCCTGAGTTTGGTTCAAAAAAATTTATAGAATTGCTAATCTATAAAGTGGCTCAAACAGTGTATATTTTAGGAAATCCAAATCCAGTCCATTTGCTAGGAATTGGGGGGAATTTCTGACACCTTTCCTCTTTTTTATTCTGATTCCTAATCTTATTCCTAATCCTTTGGGTGAAACAAACATAGAATACAAAAAAAATGGGATTCCATAAAACTAAAACTTGTCTCTAAATTTTTTATGGATTAGGTTGGAATCCATAAATAAAATAGGATTCCTAATCCTATTCCTACCCTCTATTGAACCAAACAGGCCCTTAGTTCTTCTTCTACCAACCGAGCCTTAGGATGAGTAGTAGGAAATAATTATATCAATACACACACATGAAGCTAAAAGCAGAAACCTGATGGGTAATATTAGGTAGATGTATAGTTATTAATTTCTATGCCCACTCAAAATAATACAGGTTGGTAGCCTTTTTTTGGTGTTAATTAGGCTGGCATCCTTTGAAAATGAAAATATAAAAATTATGAAAAAACAAAAAATGTTCAACGTTTCTCATGCGCAGATGAAAATAGTCCGACTCCCATCCAATTGTGTATGTGTATTTTGATAAATATGAAAATGTATACTTTAGAATCATTTGCTCAGATAATATGGATCAAATGATTTTGAAAATTGTTGATGTCAGTTATCAAATATTAGAGTTATGAGAGTGTTTATGTTCCTCAAACTCCTTCATATGACTGGTTCCAAAGTCCGATGTTCTTCCCTGCACATAAAAACTCATAAGATGGCGGAGTTGGGTTCTCCGGTTGTTCGACGATCAAGTTAGTATTTTGATCTTAAGTGGAAAAATAAAAGACAAGTTGTATAGGTAGTTATTCAAAGTTGCCAAAAAGCAGAAGAAGTTATCTCACGCAGCGTAGTTCCCTTTTATAATAGATCAGAGGGGTATGAAGATAACTTCGGCCGAGTCCAGTGAGGCTGTTGAGTCAGCAGATATTTCGGGTTATTTTAAATTGTAATTGACACATATTACAACAAAAGAAAATTGTAGTGAAATAAAGAAAAAAATATTTTTTTCCTAGGGTTCTTTTTCGTGTACCGGTGGAGCGTCGATCTTGTACTCCGTTAACTTGCCGACTAAGACAATGAGCCTTTTTGCTATTGATGAGGATCATATCGCTTGGAAGCTAGCTCAGTCTTTTCTTAGCAATACCTCCAGTATGTCTCCGCACGTGTGCGTGTATATATGTGTCTAGGTGTCTCTATCTGTCTCCCCCTTTTCTCGTCTGTGTCTAAAGTGGATGATCCCCTCTCCTTTTATAGGCTAAAAGAGAGAGTTAATGGTCCCCTTAAATGTGGATTAAGTGGCCATTAAAGTAGGAGTTAGTGGGGAGCGATTATCCCCCGAAAATAGCTTTGAAACAGTTGCTTAGGCGAAATTCGCGGGCTTGGCGAAATTCGCTGAAGACGTGGGCGAAGGTCCTTGTGGACGTGGGCGAGGGTCGCTTCTAACGTGAGCACATCTTCTTCGAAAGTGGATGACTTGGTCCATGTGGGCGAAGTTCGTTAGTTGGCGAATTTCGTCTATGAGTTCGAATTTAGCTAAAAATTCAACTCTGGGTTTGGCCAACTGATGTCACCTTTTGACTTGATCTGAAGCGTGTTGGGGGGGGGGATCAACTCGTATCTGATTTGGTCGAATCGATATGAGTTGCTTGGCGAGGTTCGCTTCAATCATCAGGTGACCTTCGCTGCAGCTTGTTGTGGGCTTGACTTTGGGCCTACTCGAAGTGTTTAGCCCATGGGCGTTCACTTCTTGGATCTTCAGTGAAAATATGTTTTGACCATCTACAGTAGATACCTTTTAGGTGTCGGCCGCGGGAGAAAATGAGTCATCTGGTCATTTAATGAGGGAATGATAGCAGGTGTTTGGAGCTGACTGGGTCCGATGAGTCATAAAGACTATGGGGGTAAAGTAATAATGATTTTGTTAGAGCACTTAATGCGAGAGTAGTCGGCTAGCGAGGGGTTCAAGGTAACTACCGTCTCTCTATTTGTTTGGTCAAGGGCCGAGAACTACCGCCTTTTTAATCGGCCTCACAAGTTGTCGGGTGACACAGTAGGCCAAGTGCGGGTTGCTCGTAGGGTTGATCTGGCTGACAAGTACCGTCTTTTGACTCGGCTACGCAAGTTGTCAGTTGACACAGTAAGCCGAGTGCGGGTTTGAGTCGTCTCGGCCTCAATTCGTCTGATTAGACAAGGTGTGAGACACGCGTCGGCTTCTCTAGGGAGATTAGCACTTATTGATTTTCTAGGCTGTAACAAAAATCAACCATAAAAAACTGGTTGCATACATTTAAGATTTATCATAATAACATAATAACGTTTCTATGAAAGGAGCATGGTGAAGATTTCATAATTAAGCCTACTTGAGAAAACAAGTTTAGGAATAAAATTAAAAAAAACTAACTTACTAAATTATTCCTGACTATATAAAAGCTGGCATACCCAGTTCATGAAATAAAAGTTTCATGAGTTTTATTTATTTATTTATAATATGTAAGATCTTTTTATTGATTTAAAAACTGAAAATTTTTGAGGAAAAAACACAAAGTTAGCATCTAAAATCGATTTATAATTACTAGAGCCGGTACAAAAAACGACAGA